TGTAAGACCCCAGATGCTGTAACATTTGATAGCCGGGCACCATCTGCTTTCTTCACCACTTTTGCTAATGCACCCCCTTTGTCCTCAGCGATCGAGTAGGGGTAGGCTGGTGTGCTTCTTCCGTGTGGGTTTTGTTGTCTCTCAGCTAGATGGTGTTTGTTTATCTTCAGGTCTTTAAGGCTTCAAATGCTATATCTTTTGGTAGCTGAGCACCATCAGCTTTATTCTTGACACTTGCTTGTGCACCGTCTTCAGTGACTTCAGGTGTTATATCTTTTGGTAGCCAAGCATCATCCTCTTTCTTCACCACATTTTCTTGTGCACCCATTGTCTTCAGCGAACATGCAGGTAGGTGAGCATCTCAGACTGCCACATTGTTAGAACAAAGTGTTCTTGTGTTGGGGGAGTACTTATGCAGGGGCCCACTGTCCATCTGTTTTCTTAATACTCGACCTATAAATATATGTACACTGATCTATTTCCCCCTCATCATATATAAATATATTTACATCTTTATATGCCTGTATTTAAATTTCTAGGAGTACCCTTTGCCTCCTAGTTCTTTCCTCTGTTTCTTTGTACTTTCCTCTTGTCCCACTATCATGTTCTGCCTTCATTTGGGTTTTAGGCATTCCTCTAGGTTCCATTGCCCTCATCCAGCCCTGCAAGGCCTCCCGCACCCTCCTTGACATTGATTTTGGGTCATTTGTTGTTCCCTTGTCCCTGCTTGTTAACACCCTCTTCCTTCCTCCCCCTCCTCCCCTACCCCTATACTCCCCTGATCTGTCATCCCGTTGTTCTCTCTTCTGGCTTGTTTATTCCACCTATACCTTCCAGGTAGACATGCTATGTACCATCACCAGACTGAGTGCAACGAAGCGACAACAGACTGTAAAACAATGTCTACAACTACAACATACACACACATGTGCATACATATATAACCGTATGAATAGTTCAGGGTCTGTTTGTTTTCCTTCACGTGTGCTTTCCAGTCAAGTCTGGTGGGGAGTCATGCCCCAGCACCGCCTCTATCCATGGGGACCTCACTGCTCTGCTCCCCCCCCTGCTCTGATGTATGCCCCCAGAGGCTGGCATTCAGCGTGGTGAACTTATGGCGGGCACAATTCCCACTGTTTGTCTCCAGTGCTGTCCCCAGTGGTGCAATGGGTCAGCGAGGAATGCTGTGTCCTGTGGTGTGGCCGGCCCCGTGGTCATCTCCGCGCATCACTGTTCCGAACAGGCACATTGTCCCCAGGGCTCAGCTAGTTAGCATGCGCTCCACTTTTTTCTTTTCTTCCCCTTCCCCCCTCATTGGCTCACATGCACTCCAACCAGACCAATCCCCCTTCCCCTCTTCCTGAGCTGCAGCTTCAGTGCTGTCCTCTGAAGTGAATTCCCCCTGGGGGAGGGTGCTGCCATGCACCCAGTTGGTAATGGGGCCCCCCTCAGGCCTCTCTATCTATTCCCTACTTCATGTCAGTGTGTTGTGTTCCTGTCTTGGAGCTCCGGGTTGATGTCTGGTCCCTCTTTCCCTGTGGAGACACAATCGACATCCTCCCCCTGTGTGGATTAGTGCCCTGTTCCCCTGGCTACCCATACCTTTTTCCCTCCTCCCTTTTAGTGGGCTACCATATGTATCCCTGGATTTAGTCTGGCCCCTGCCATATTACCTGGACCTCACTGCAGGGACGTATGTATACAGCATCTTCTTCCCTATGCCTTTTGTGAAAAAAAATTTTTTTTCAAGCTTACCTTAGAGGACTCATGTAGTACTTGTACTTTTGTTAAAAAAAATATTTTTTAATGAGTACCTTAAAGGAAAATTCCCACTCAAATGATAATTTATTGAATTATACTTTCATGATCATTTTCTTTTAATAACCCAGCTATTTTGAAAAGATAACCAGGAAAAATTTCTGCAGATTAACAATCTAAAGTTACTGAAGTGAATTGTAATTGCTCCTGTCCTGCCCAATGTTTAATATATTGTTTTATTTTGAAATTAATAATATACACATAAAAGGTAAAATGAAAATCTCCTTCATATTTCATCCTCTTTATCCCAACCCCTTTTACAAATATATCAACTATTAATAATTAGTGTGTCAATTTGAATCTCTTCTTCTACATTTACATATAGGCACAAATTTCTATTTTTCTATACATTGTGTATCTTTAAGTTCATTGTATATGAAGCACTTTTAAGATTTACTTTATGATTTACATTTTTTCTTTCTTTTTTCAACATGGAACTATTTTCTTGATCAATGTACAGCTAAATCTAGACCTATTGTTCTTAATGACTGTTTTATTCTATTGTCTATTAAAATAATATCATAATGAACACCTGTATACATCCTGGTGGTGTAGTGGGTTACACATAGACTGTGTGCTAACTTCAAGGTCAGCTGTCAAAAATGGACTAGCCACTTCATGTGAGAAAGATGAGACTTTCTACTCTAGTCAGGTGGCTATGAATTGGGACCAACTTATTGGTAGTGAGTTTTTTTTAACTTATACCTATCTGTGGCCACAGGAATGATAATTCATTTTACTCTGATTCCTAAAAGTAAACTTGCTGCATTAAAAGATGTTCATTCTAATTTTTGACTTAAAATTTTTTTATAGTAGTAACACATAAAACCCATTTTTAAATAGAGCCAGTATGAGAGATATAAAATAAAAGCTCTTCTTTTCACACATTCACATACCCCCAAAACCCAGCTCTTCTTCCTCAAAATAACTCCATTTAGCAGTTTCTCATGTGCTTTTTCAGAAAAAAACTTTTTATGCATTTGTAGATGATATTTCATCAATTTTAAGACTCAATTTTTTTACATTCTAACATATCTGAAATTGAGGTTCCTCTTAAAATTGAAAGCACATCAGCCTTCTTCACCACACTTACTTATGCACCCAGAAGCAACAAAGCCCACATGGAAGCAGCACACCAACATGTGTGATCATGAAGGGCCAAAGGGACCAGGCTTTAAACACCAAAGGCGGGGAGAAAAATCATATCCTCATCAATGAGGTGGTGCGTGATGGAGACCCAATGCCCATCTCTAGACAACTGGACATACCTTGCAGAGGGGTAGTGGGGAGATGAGTTACTTAGGGTACAGTATAGCAATAATGAAACCCACAACCTTCCTCTAGTTCTTAAACGCTTCCTCCCCCCACTACCAGGACCCCAATTTTGCCTTGCAGACCTGGTTAGACCAGATGATGCACAGCAGTAGAGATGGGAATTGGAAACGCAGGGAATCTAGCACAGAAGAACCTCTCAGGACCAGGGGTGACAGTGGCAATACCAGGAGGGAAAGGGGATGTAGTAAGGGGGAATGGATCACAGGGAGCCACATATAACCTCCTCTCCGGGGGACGG